TTTAATATTTCATACTCTTTGTACATATTTTAACTAATTTTAAATAAGTATATGTAACATAGGTAGTTTTAGAAGTAATTTATAGTAATTTTAAGATGTAATGTAGTGTTGAAAAGCCCTTAGGGGAACACGCAATAAAGTATCTATCTATCTATCTATCTATCTATCTATCTATCTATCTATCTATCTATCTATCTTTATCTCAATATTGGAATAGTTTACCAGCCAGACATAAAAAGGAAACATCTTTAAGCCAAGCTCTAGTTTATAATTTTACAGAATCTACGTAACGTAGAATTGAGAACCACAAGTTTATTAGTGTATTACAGTATTAATTATGTCGGCTATACGGCTATACCCTGCAGAAATAAAGTCTATCTATAATATAACTATAGTATAAATCTGACTTGGTCCCTTCGTGAGAAATTCAAAGTGACTTTTTGTTGTGAATCCCATGGATTACTATAGTTATTTTTATACCATTTACTAAAGTGTAATATAAGTGAATGACTTTCAGAAATTAGGCAACTATGTCAAAAATGCTCAATCAGAATTTGCTGCTTTCCAACCTGTTACTGTCAGTCATGTCTCTCATCTTTTGCATGGACTTTCCAACAATAAAGCCACTGGCATCGATAAAATCTCTTCCAAAATTATTAAATTAGCTGCACCTGTCATCTCAGATTCACTGACACTTATTTTCAATCAGGCTATTACTTTATGAACAAATTAGAGCTCTATGGAATAAAAGGACAAGCTCTAACTTTGCTCAAATCCTATCTCACAAACGGAAACCAGAAGTGCCAAATAAAAAACTCATTTTCATCTGAGCGCTTGATTAAATGTGGTGTACCACAAGGCTCTATATTAGGGCCATTATTCTTTTTGTTGTACATCAATGATTTGCCACATTGTCTAAACAAAACAAAACCGCGGTTGTTTGCTGATGACACAAATTTGACTGCTTCAGCAGCGCAAATTCTATGACTGACCTAGAGACTGCAGTAAATTCTGATTTAGAGAACCTTAGAAAATGGTTAATAGCCAATAAACTTAGCCTCAATGTAGCCAGGGGCGCCGGAGCCACGGGGAGAACAGGGGGGCAACAGATTGCCCATTTTTCCAGAACTGCACCTCAAAATTTGTGCATTATTCACTGCAGAAATTGGAATTTAGAACTTAATTTTTAGAACAATGTTTTTAGAACAATGTTTTTCAGTCCGTATGTAAAAAAAGACTTTGTTTCCATTTCGGTATGCAAAATATAGAATTTTATTCGAAAACTATTTATATTTTCATGATTCTAGAGTATGATAAATTATCAAGAAACGACAATCAAGCTTTGCAAGAACGTAAAATGAAATAAAAACTTAAATAAACTGTTTGTATAATAAAAGAGGGCTCGATCCTTTATGTACATACGCAGATCGGACTCTCAATCAATTCCATGGGTGCCCAACCCCCTCCACTTGTCGGGCATTTGTCATTTTGGCGAAAATAACGTTACAAATGCCCGACCATGGGGTCCAAATAATGCAACAAATTCCCCACCCCTGGGCACTTATATTGACGCAAATGCCCCACCCTTGGGAGCAAAATTTAAGTTTTCTGAGGATTTCTGAACCAAAAAATCGAATGCAGGCTCTATCTCGTATCAATATATCTGTATTTAAAATTGATTCTGTGGCCATTTTGTTTCAAACTTTTTATTAAATTAAAATATTGAAGTCTCAAAACTTTATGTAATAATATCAAAAGGCGGAAGTATAAATTAGTCAATGTATCAACACTATGGACAAGAATGAAAGTGTGTATTATCATAGCCCATACTCAATAGAAGACAGGGCTATGCAACTCATTGTACTATGTTATTGTTCACGTTATGGATATTTATGTAACTTCACGGCACTGTATTTTCTGTATAATGAAGCTGTCATCCAATAGCAACAATTAGACTGAATTAATAGTTGCTTCAACGTCACGTGTTGGGTCGCTTCGAATGAAAAATGCGCCATGATTAGTTCGCACTATGGTAAATGTGCGTACTACTAATACGGTTAGATAGCGAAACAAGCGACAAATATTCGACTTTTTAGTCTCGAGCAAATTCCCCACTCCGCGGGGCTAACATGCAGAAAGAAAATGCCGGACCCTGGGAACAAGTACAGTTGATAATGCCCGACAAACGCCCGGGGGGGGGGGGCACCCACGGAATTAGCCTTTCTCACGCCGCCATTTTTGGGTGGCATTTCAGCTGAAATCCGGGAGATCAGTCCACATAACAGCGACTTTTTTATAATTTTTTTCACAAATGGTGGTAAATTTGCTTTGTAAAAGGTTAGTTTATCTTGAAAAATTCCTTTTCACATTGTTTTAATTGTCTGCATTGGTAAACGAGAATTGGGTGCCACCCAAAAATGGCGGATATTTGTCATCGTGAGAAAGACTAATTGATTGAGACTTTAAGCAAACTTTGCTTAATTTTTAACCATTTGTAGTAAAATTAATGCTAAATCAAGCAATATACGTTCGCTCACTGATTTTATTTTGCGCCTTTAACACGGTGCAACAAATACAATTGTTCAAAATTAATGTCAAAGTTTGCCGACCCAAATCGAGTATCCATACAGTAAAGTTTTAGCAAATATTGCTGCCCGGAAAAATGAAGTGCCCTTTTGAAATGGCTGCCCCCGCCGCTTCACATTGCTTCCGGCGCCCCTGGATGTAGCTAAGACAGAGTTTATGTTGATTGGCTCTAAACCTATGTCTATGATCAAAAATATTTCCGATTCTTGTCCAAATGTTTACATTGAAAATATACAAATTAAACAAGTTCATGAATGCAAAACTCTAGGAGTAACAATTGACCAGCATTTATCTTGGAAAAGTAATACCGAAAATATTTGCAAAAAAGTTACAGCAGGAATCTCTGCTATTCGTCGGATCAAACCATTTGTTGATCAAGATACACTTATTTTGATATATAACACTATTGTTCGTCCGTACTTTGACTACTGCTGTGAAGTATGGGATGTATTTGGTGAAACTCAATCAAAACGACTGCAAAAACTGCAAAATAGAGCGGCAAGAATTATTCTGAATATAAGCAATGACGTAGATTATACGATTGCTTTACGTACTTTGGGCTGGGAGCCACTCCAAACTGAAAGGAAGAAAACTAAAGCAAGAATGATGTATAAGTTATTAAACAAAATGGGCCCAAAATCACTCACAAATCTATTTTCGTTTAAGAGTGAGAAAACTAATTACCACCCTCGGATGTCTCAAGTGGTCATTATTTACCAAAACCACGTACAAATAGCATGAAAAATAGTTTTATGTACGACGGAGCAAACATTTGGAATTCTATACCAAAAGAAATTAGGGAAAGCAAGTCACTTTCTTCCTTTCGAAATAAAATCGCTGCTCAGATTAGTGCTTGGTATTTGGTAACCTTTGTAAATATAATTTACCTGTAAATAGCTCAAAACATTTGCTATATCTTTTAAATTTATATATTACTGTAAATAGCTTAGCTTATCATTATCATATTCTGCATGTAAAATAATTTTCTGGCACACGCCCCCCGTGGAAATCAGCTACGGTTGACGGGGTCAGCGTGGATAAATAAAGTTCTAGCTACTACTACATGCCGCATTTTGCGATACACTGCAGAGAGAAAAAGTGTTGCGTAAGACAACATGACACAGAAAGAATGCACGCCTTGGTCGTGTAGTTTCTGCGATTTTTCCTGACTTCACATTACGCGCTAAAAACCAAAAAATATTTTTATCAAATGCGTAACTGTCTGAAGAGTGGAGAATTTTTATGATCAGGTAGTTTCCGTGAAAAGAGACTGAGTAATTCCAAAACACATTGAGTGAAGTGACAACACTTGGCCCCGTTTTAGATTCAAATCTGAATCTGTATGTGAATCTAAAAATCAAAATCTGAAACCCAGTGTAGAGCCGATCGTATAACTATTCAATGTATCATCCCGGCACCCAGGGCACAATGACGTTGATTCAACGTTGAATCAACGTCGGGTCACTCACCTTTTAGACATTGCATGGATCGACGTTGATAAAGGATTGAAAGTGCAAATTGGATCGACAACGTTGAGATTAGATTGCCAATCTCGTTAACCATAATTCAACGTTGAATCCGCGTCGAAACTACGTTGAGAATTCTTGACAATATAAGTTGACGTTCTGTTCGCTGCTGTTGAACCAACGCCGGTTTGTAAAACAATATCAGAGAAACGTTGATATTAGGTCGACGTCGCAACTTTTTTTCTACCAAATTTCAACGTTGAGACAACGTTGTGTGCCCGGTGTATGAGTTCAGGCATGTCGCTTTTAGGGCCGTTGCACGTTGTAACATACACGGCTTCCATTTGCTTATCACACGTATAAATTCTGGAAACCTGATCTGTTGATCGCATAGTTTCTTCGACTCCCCACCATTCAAAATGGGCTCGTTGATCATCGTTGTTTTGATTTGCGCAAGTTTACTTTCTAACTGTGGCGCAGTCAGTAATTCAAACATACAGGACGAATGGGAAAAGTTCAAAAAACTGTACAACAAGATTTACGATGATATTGAAGATCTTTTCCGAAAGAATAACTGGCTGCAAAACCTAAAGGTTGGTAAAGACTTTCTACGGAGGGTTTTTTAGTCGAAGCAAATTATCCATCAATATAGTATTATAGTGTCATAACAATCGTATAACGGGACGTTGTTAGAGGGTGCATGGTAAAGAATATTTTCGTGAGCTGTGAAATGCCTTATTTAGTTGTCGCAGAATTCGCTGTCTTCGTCCAAAGACTATATCCACTGCGATTGAGTTTTTCATTGCTTTTTCAAGTCAGAGAAGCCCAAGAGTTAAATCTAAGCCGTTGTTTGAAAGTTCACGATATTCACCTGCCTAATCCTTTTAAAATGAATCAGTGTTTTAAACGATTTAAGCCCCTTTGGTTTGTTTGATATATTTAATCATCTCATATATCGCTTGTCAGAATATGACAAGCAAAGTCTAGGGAAGCATATAAATATCTTTTACAAACCGTACGCATTTCAATGTGCGTTTTATATGCTAGACGGAGATTAGGATTATTACTTATATTTTCCGTAATAGTTATTGCTGATACAGGGTCTGGATGTTCTTCAGTAGGACCTTTTTGTCGGCCAACAATATGAAGGCTAGATATATAGGTTAACTATCCTTCGTATACATACAAATTTGGAGCGATTGCAGAATACCCGTCCACTTTTTATGTATATTGTACACGTACCGTACAAAATACAAGAGAACTCTTACCAATTCATTAAAACTTAATACTAGTGCTATCACATAAAAAAAACACGGAAAAATATTTGTTTTACCTTACTACAGGTCAAAAAACACCGTGCACGATTCACATGTCTTAAAAAAGCAATTTCACAGAAAACTAGATTCTGATAAAATAATAAAATAATAATAGGTTTATTAAGACTATGTTTAATGCATGGTACAGTATCTACGGTTTAAGTTCTCTCATTTCCCTACCTGTCAGTTAAAAATTACATCATAACTTACAAATTTGAGTGCGTGTTCTCAGCGCCAGGAACTTGGTCCTCAAAGCCAGGAAACTTGTCCTCACCGCCAGGAACCTTGTCCTCACCGCCAACAACCTTGTCCTCACCGTCAGGAACCTTGTCATCACCGGCAGGAACCCTGTCCTCACCGGCAGGAACCTTTTCCTCACCGCCAAGAACATTGTCCTCACCCCAAGGAACCTTGTCCTCACCGCCAGACACCTTGTCCTCACCGCCAGAAACATTGTCCTCACTGCCAGGAACCTTGTCATCACCGCCAGGAACCTTGTTCTCACCCCCAGAAACCTTGTCCTCACCACCAGGAACCTTGTCCTCACCGCCAGAAACCTTGTCCTCACCACCAGAAACCTTGTCCTCACCGCCAGGAACCTTGTACTCACCACCAGAAACATTCTCCTCACCTCCCGAAACCTTGTCTTCACCGCCAGGACCCTTGTCCTCACCGCCAGGATGCTTGTCATCACCGGCAGGAACCCTGTCCTCATCGGCAGGAACCTTGTTTTCACCTGCAGGAACCTTGTCCTCACCAGCAGAAACCTTGTCCTCACTGCCAGGAACCTTGTCCTCACCGCCAGGAAACTTGTCCTCACCGCCAGGAACCTTGTCCTCACCGCCAGGAACATTGTCATCACCGGCAGGAACCTTGTCCTCACCCCCAGAAACCTTGTTCTCACCGCCAGAAACATTGTCCACACCGCCAGAAACCTTCTCCTCACCGCCAGAAACCTTGTCCTCACCCCAGGAACCTTGTCCTCACCGCCAGGAACCTTGTGCTCACTTCCAGTAACCTTGCCCTCACCGGCATAAACCCTGTCCTCACCGGCAGGAACCTTGTCCTCACCACAAGAAACCTTGTCCTCACCGCCAGAAACCTTGTCCTCACCGCCAGGAACCCTGTCCTCACCGCCAGGATCCTTGTCATCACCGGCAGGAACCCTGTCCTCATCGGCAGCAACCTTGTTCTCACCTGAAGGAACCATGTCCTCACCAGCAGAAACCTTGTCCTCGCAACCAGGAACCTTGTCCTCACGGCAAGGAAACTTGTCCACACCGCCAGGAAACTTGTCCACACCGCCAGGAACCTTCTCCGCACCGCCAGGAACCTTCTCCTTACCGCCAGGAACCTGTCCTCACCGCCAGAAACCTTGTCCTCACCGCCAGGAACCTTGTCATCACCCGCACGAACCCTGTCCTCACCGGCAGGAACCTTGTCCTCACCGCCAAGAACGTTGTCCTCAACGCCAAGAACCTTCTCCTAACCGCCAGAAACCTTGTCTTCACAGCCAGAAACCTTGTCCTCACCGCCAGGAACCTTGTCTTCACCGTCAGGAACCTTGTCATCACCGGGAGGAACCCTGTTCTCACCGGCAGGAACCTTGTCCTCACCACCAATAACCTTGTCCTCAACGCCAGGAACCTTGTCCTCACCGCCAGGAACCTTGTCGTCACCGCCAAGAACCTTGTCCTCACCGCCAGGCACCTTGTCCTCACCGCCAGAAACATTATCCTCACCGGTAGAAACCTTGTCCTCACCGCCAGGAACCTTGTCCTCACCGCCAAGAACCTTGTCCTCACCGGCAGGAACCCTGTCCTCACCGGCAGGAACCTTTTCCTCACCGCCAAGAACATTGTCCTCACCCCCAGGAACCTTGTCCTCACCGCCAGAAACCTTGTCCTCACCGCCAGGAACCTTGTCCTCACCG